AATACATTTAAAAGACTCAAGCACAGTGGGGGGGCGGACAACACTCTGCATGAGCTGTGAAATGATTCCTGGCTTGCGCCAGGGCCCCCTGCTGCACTTCTGATTTTTAAATGAATTAAGAGCCTGCAGAGGTGCAGTGTCTTGGACTGGGCATGAGCCGGGAATGAGCTGAGTCCAGGCTCACACCCAGTCCCTGCTACCCCCCTGCCTCCTGAGGAGATGGTGCCAGGGGGAAACCGGCTTTTAAGCAGCTCCCCTCAGCACTAGCTCCTGCTCCCCACCTTGCTGACTCTGATAAAGGCAGCAGGGGGGAGGGGGAGCACGACTAGTTGAGGGACTAGTCAACCAGTAACTTACATCCCTATTTAAAAGCAGCCATTTCAAAAGTAGGAATTTCACAAGCTAACGAGAGAGAGAATGGAATTGTTCTTCATATGCAAATGTGACACTGTTTTCCTGGGCTTGAAAAAAAGACGAACTGGCTGTCACATTCGAAAGCCAATCTGTATTTAACAGCTCACTAAGCTAAGTATGGGACACTTCCAGCCCACGCAATTAGCCCCAGCACTAATTGGCAGGTACCTTGTTTTTTCTTTCCTCCTTTTTCTGTTATAAATTCTGGGTCCCTATTATTTCCACTCCAGCCCTTCTGCGGAAGTAGGTTTTGCCCACAAAAGCTAGTCTCTAAGGTGCCACAGGACTACTCGTTTATTCAAGTTATGGACTAACACGGCGACTGCTCAGACATGAAGAATTCAGCCTTTCCCTTATAAGCTTAGGCCTTGAATCTTAGTCTCCTGTAATGGGTCATCAGCAGGCAACAGCCCTCTCTTCAGGGTTCAAAGAGCTGCGTTTTTGTACAACTGGAGGTGGGGAATCCTTATTCGCCTCCTGCTAAACATCAAACAGGTTTGGTCCTCAAGTCCATCTTCTGGCTCACTGCTCAAGAGAGTCCCAGATCTTGTACGAGTCATCTCCCTTGAGCGGCTCCATACAATCCCAGCCCAGGCGCAGGAGGTATCACAGGCCGGAAAGGCTAAGTCTCTCCTAATCGAGGCTGTGGCCCCATCCCCTGAAGCCGGCTGGGGTTCATCTCCAGGCCCTGCCTGGACCTTGGGGCTTAGCTGATGGCCTGGGGCAGGCCAGCAGAGACTCCTACAGCTGCAGGGAGAAGGGACGCTCCAGCCATGGCAGGTTGGGAGGGGGGAGGGAGGAAGGGAGAGAGGAATCAGGGGAAGGAGTGGGGCTAGCCAGCCAGTCTCCCCTGTCTCCGTCTCAGTTTCCTTAGCTACTAAGTGGGGATAATGCTACTTTGCATCTACTCGGAGGCTGTGGGGGCTAAAGGACAGCACAGTGCATGCTCCAGAAGGCAGCTCTATTATTGATGAGCCAGTGCTTTGGCCTGGCATTTCTGCTTGCTAGCTATAAAGCAGATTTCTGGACTTTCACACTCGGGGACATCTTCCAAGCAACAGGCCTTGGGCGTAAACTATCGGCACTTTAAACGGGAGCCTCGTTAGCTGCAGCCCTGCGCCACGGTGTCTGTCTAAAAAGCCGGGGGAGGGGAAGAAATTAGCAGATCTTCCAGTGCGGTGTTGTACAGATCGGCTAGTCTACACATGCTGCTCTGTTTTTATGGCATCTGTTCAGCTCAGTCCGTTAGACTCAGCTAAGAGCTAGAACGTGCCTAGTTCAGCCCTGGCTCCAACACTGACTCGGCAACGTCTGGGACATATTGCACCCCTCTGCCTCAGCTGAAAGGCAGAATCCGTAGCTCCCTCCCTCTGAGCACCTGCAATGTCTGCATACCAGTCTGTGCCTCCAGCCCCATGCGAGCGCTCAGCGCTGGCCTACGAGCGAAGCACGCCCCTCACGGTGTAAGGGCCAGTCTGGTCCCAGCCAGAAGGTAGCAGTAAAGATACCGTTACAATTTTATGGGCGAAAAGTGGGAAAACGAGGCCCCTCAAGTGACGAAGGTTCTGAAACCACAATAAAAGGCAGAACGCACGGGGCTCTGAGCAAGCAGAGGAGGCCAGCGGCACAGACGTCTGGCCTGGCTCTGCCCTTCCTAGCTGCTATCACGGAAATCAAAAAATCCATTTTTAATTTGCACGGCTCTTGTTCTTGAGCTTATCTTCTCCAGCGCACCAGAGAGACGCGATCGCTTCCAGAGGAGACCTCTGCCACTGGCGGCTTGCCCGCAAAAGAGCCTGGCCGCAGTGACCCCTCCTACAGCCAGCACAGGACTGGTCCCCAAAGGCCTTTTCCTAGGGCTCCACCCTGCAGAACCGCTTCACTCGTTTCCAAAATAGCCACCCGGGCCTCTGCTTCGGACATGACTGCGAAGTAGCCTGCCACGATCCCCCCCAGGCTCCCGCCGCGCCCCACCACGATGCCCCCGGGGGCTCTCAGCATTCACGGGTCAGGAAGCACGAGCCTTCCAAAGCAACAGGCATCACCCTCCGCACCCCTCCGCCCACAGGAGCCACCGTTCCAAGCAGAGCGCCTCTGGCGACAGGAGGCGATACCGTGTCCGACCGGCACAGCCAACTCGGACACCACTCCAGCATGAGCAGAGGCTCCATCTGGAAACTCCTCTTGCTTTCAAGGGATGTTTGCACAGCCCCTGAAGTGGTGCCAAGTATATTAACGGTTTCACTGCTGCTCCCCTGCCCAGAGCCGTGTTTACCTGGCCTCACTTTCCACCCTGTAGAGCAACACAGTAGGTACAATCAGCAGCGTTTTGCTGAGGAACGTGGCGCCTCGGGCAGCAGCAAAGCCATCAGTTAGCATTACAGCGTGAACGTGCCTGTGCCAGCCAGAAGCGGCCGTGCCGGGAGATGCAGATGGAAGACGTGCGGCAGGAAGAGCTGTCAGAGGAATGCCCCTGCTCTAAGCGCACCCCACAGCTTTAGGGCTTTTCAGAGGGGGTAGTGGGAGTCGGCCTGTCCCCGGAAGTGCCAACACGAGGCCCACTGGCCCCTGGGCGTCAAGTAGCCGACTCCACCTACTGCAGCATAGACCTCTCTGGCCCGGCACGCTGGGGACCGGACCAGGGGAAGTCCCTTCCCTAATGCCCTGCTATCTCTAGGCTGGAGCTCCAGACTGGCCCTGCTGCTGTCCCAGCCCCCCAGGGCTCTCTAGCGCCCGCTGGGCCAGAGCTCCCTGGCTGCCCCTGGGGCTGGAGCTCCCCGGCCGCTGGGGCCAGAAGGGGGCTGGTTCTCCACAGCAGGTGCCAGAGCTTCCTGGCCACAGCTGGGCTGCAGTGCCCTGAGCACTGGGACTGCAGCTCCCTGCTGCGCTGTCCACCCCACCGCAAGAGATTCCCAGTTGAGCTGCTGGCCGCCCACCCCCTACCGTGCTCCTGCCCCCCACCAGACCTCCCTGTCCCTGGGCTCGGTGCATTAAGAGGCAGAACACTCAGCTCTGGAAATCACTTCCCCTATTAGCCTGAGAAAAACCAAAAGTAAGGATCGGGCCCACTGCAGCACTGGGACTGTCTGCCAGGCAATTCTCACCCAGAGCTCGCTGTCCGCGACCGGCCACACGCACGCTGTCTCCGGCCCTCGGGATGGGATCTCGATATCCCAGGAGGCAGCATCCGTCCTCCCGCCGCCAGCTGTGCTGCCATTTACGCTCCCGCCCTCCCCACTCCCAATCCCGTGGTGGGCCCGAGCCTTACTTTTCTTTTCCTTTTCTCCCCACTCCCCCCTCCCACAAAGCTCCATGCCCGGCCAAGGGCACAGTGCTGGGGCAGGAGCTGCTTTTGGCCATGAGAGCCGCCTTGCCGTACCCTCCGTGGATGGGCAGGGGATGGAGGGGGCAGGAGCTGAGGAAGCAGCACGGGCCAAGAGACATGCTGGCTGCCACTTCCCGCTGCTCTCCTTGTGGGGGGTCCATACAATTTTAACATGCTCGAAAAGGCGGGGAGCCACCCCGCTAGGCCACGCCATGGCACTTACAGAGGCTGGAAGAGAGAAACCCTAGTTACAAGCACACATTTCTCGGCCAACTATTTGCAAACGGCAAGAGTGCGGTTTGTTCGCATTTCAGTAAGATACCCTTCCCCCCCATACAACGCAAGCAGCCACGTGAACTGCAAACGAGCAACAGCGCGCAACAGGTGCAAAGACGAAGGTGCAATGCTGCTGCCTGAACAGACGGCGCAGCGAGCCCTTGTGCCCACGTACCCGGACACTCGTCTGTAGTTTTATTCACTTTGAAAATCCCCCACTACAGAGAAACTCCCCCCACCTGCCCCGCCACCTGAGTCAGCACAACAGACCAGCAGGGCGAGCCGTGTTCGCAATGAGGGACAGAAAAGGGATAAGAGCCACATGCCTGGAAAACGGGCTTGGTGGCGATTACGATGCTCCATTTTGAGAGACACGGGGCATTTCCAACGTCAGAAAATTGCTTGTCCTGAGTGGTTTTAGGGGACTTCACTACAGTTACATCTGCGGGTTGGCACAGCGGCACCCCTGCGGTCAGAGGCAGTAACACCCTTTCCTCCAACACGTAACTGCTTTCTGAATGAATGGCATTGCCCTAACGCCTGGCCCAGCAATACTTAGCTAGAAATGCTACCCGGTGGTACAGTAGCCCCCGAAGTGTGGGGCGCGCTCCCCTCGGGGGGGCAGGGGTGGACCAGAGGAGCTGTGGGGAGGGCCATGGCAGGCACAAGCCAGCCCCCACAGGGGGACGGGAAGGGAGCATATTCCCCAAACCCACTCCCCAGCCCGGGAGGGAGGGGGAAGGATGGGCCCATTCCATTACGGGAAGGGAAGGGCAGAGGGGAAAGGCAAGAGAGCCCCACTGCTCTAAGTCAGGATGCAGGACCCGGGCTCTAGTCCCGGTTCATGAGGGAAGGGCCGGGCGGGCAGCCGTGTTACAGTCTCTGTCACTCGCCGCACAAGTTCATCCCAGCTCTCCCCTGGCTGAGGGCGTTTGGCCGCCCGTCCGTCTCCATCACGCGCCGCGTAGAGACGGCTCCGCTTTACCTTTCTGCCTCTTCTTTCACTACAGCGAACTGGGCTGACTGCCGGTTTGCCCGCGTCTGGTCTTGCGCCTTCTCGCTGCCCTCCAGTTCCTGCTCCAGGGAGGAGCTGGTGCTGCCCTCCCTGCTGACGTTGCTGCTGCGCCCAGGGCTGTTCTCCGTGGAGGCCCTCGGGGACTCGGTGTTCTGCTTCAGGGTCTGGAGCTTGGCCAGTGGGATGATATCACAGTTCTGCGGCCGATGCCACACGGTCCGCTGGGTGGTGGCATTGTAGTAGTAGAACCGGGAGGTGTTCGGGTCAAAGAGCTCCCACCACTGGTTCTCGTTGGTGCGCTTGATGCGGACCCCAGGGGGCGGGTCCCACACACACTCCCCTGTGATGAGGTTGGCGTACATGCGCTCCCGCGTGCGAGGCTCTATGATTTCCACCCATTCCAGCCTGAGGGAGAACAAAGAGGGACAATTAAGAAGCTGCAGCAATTGCCCAGGACCAGCTTGGAAGGCAGGATGGAGAGCAAAGGCTGCTTGGGAGGGATTCTAATATATGGAGATACACCCATCTCACAGAACCGGAAGGGACCTTGAGAGGTCATTGAGTCCAGTCCCCTGCCCTCACAGCAGGACCAACTACCAACCCTGACAGATTTTTGCCCCAAATCCCTAAATGGCCCCTTCAAGGACTGAACTCACATCCTTGGGTTTCGCAGGCCAATGCTCAGACCGCTGAGCTATCCCTTCCCTGGCTCCGGCTGTCCTTACAAAAGGCCCTGGATTCCAGTGGGTCTCCCTGAAACGCATCCCGTCCAACAGGCCTCGGTCCGAGCCCACAGGGGAGCAAGCGAATCCGATGGCCACCCCACAGCACTAACCAGATGTGCACAGAGCGCCTTTCCTTCCCACGTCCTGCCCACCTCCCTGGCACACGCACGAGTCCAGTGTCCATGCAGGCTCCAACTCCTCAACCAGGGGCAATGCCTGGCGTGCTGCGGGCACCCAAATAATAAAGCAGCACAGAGGAATAAAAAGGTGCTGCTAAGAGGGCACCAACGTCCAGCACTGGCCATCTGTCACATGGAACTGGAGTCACTTTGCACAAACAGAACCACCGCAGCCAGCGCCGGGAGGGCCCCGCATCTATCTCCAGGGGACGCCCAGAAGCCCTCCTTTTTGCAGGAGTGCTGCTGCAGACTTCCAGGCACTTCTGAGCATAACGGGTGCTGGGGAGAATGAGCTTTGTACTGTGAAAACAGAGCTAAGCACTGCACAGAGGATGATCCGATGCAGCTGAGAGCTGTGGCAAGCTTCTCTCCAGGCACCGTTGCCACTGGACTTCAATGCTCACCTCCAGCCCCTTTTCCATTGCTCAGCCCCCCCAAAGCCAGCGGCTGCCCTCACTCCCCCCTTAGCACATACCTACTATTCCAGTCTCGGGCTCCCACCGAGCTCTGCCAGCACACGTCTTACTGCTGACTCCCCCCATGTCAATTCTGAGTCTCTGGGAGACTTGTGCTCAGGAATTCGCTCCCCACCCACCCTCTAAACCCGAGCGCAGCCCCCACCTATTGCTGCTGGCCTCTGCTTCCTTAACTGCAGGAAAAGCGCGTTACAAGGATTTAGAGCTATGCCCTGCATACGCCTTGGGGCGGTTTGCAGACTCACAGATGACGTACAGTTGTCTCTTAACTGAACTGAAGCAGAATAGAAGCCCAAGGAAGGTGCTTTGCGTGTCTTGCCCTTTCTTCAAATACTTTCTAGCCAGCAAGTCTGCGGCTGTGAAAAGCGTTATTTGTTCATGCCGCTTCTTCACAGCGGACTTAACTCAGCCCCAGAAATCTGGAGGGCAAATTAAGCCCTGGATGGGGAGGGAGGTAGGAAACCAGGGTGACAGACAGGGCGAGCCCAAGGCCAGATCCCTGGGGCCAGAGCCAGAAGCCCTGTAGCTGGGGGATGAAACCCACAAGCACATGGCCAAAGCCTGCTGTCCACCATCCAGGGCTGAATCCAAACCCCTGCTCCCCACACACACTGGCCACCTGCCGCCCCTCGGGCAGTGTACCTCAACCCTAGGGGTACGCGAGAGACGTCTGGGGGTACCTCAACAAGTGAAACTTGGCAAAGCCCGTCCAGGATTTTGCCCCACAAAGGGAATTGGGGCGGGGGCGGCAGCACATGCCTGTCAAATTGAACATTCGGAGCCACGCGTCAGGATGTTAACAGCCGTTTTGTGCATGCTCCCCAACGCTGGAGGGAAAAGCACATGGCTGTGGATGCAGCGGCTCTGGAGAGAGCCAGAGCAAATCCATGTTGGGCGGTGGGTTTGGGCAGAGAGAAAAGAACAAAAACGAACCCCCCCCCCCCCCCGCACACACACACTTCCACGGCCGCCTCTCCTAGTTGGTTTCCTTCTCTGGCAGCCTCCCCAGGGTGCTCCAGCAGGGAGGGCAGCAGAACCTGGACATGCACATCGCCCCTACCCCCACTAGCAGCTCAGCACAAGGCATCCCATCCCATGCCATCATCCCACCCCACGGCGCTGCAGAGAGGAGCTAAAAGGCAGTGGAGCGGCACAATAAGCTTTGCTCCAAAGGACCTCCCTGGCATCAGTGGCGTAGCGAGGGGGGGGAGCAGTTGCCCCCGGGCGCCACGCTAGGGGGGCGCTGGGCTGGGAGTGCAAAGCCCCACACAGCAAGCCCAGCGCTGGTGGGCCACTTGCTCCCTGCAGACAAGCTGCCAAGGCAGGGCCGGGCAGTGGGAGCGGGCACTTCAAAGGCAGGGTTCCCTGCTGGCAGCCCCAGAGGAGCACCACTGCTTTGCCAAGCCCTTCCTCCCGATCACTGCCCAGGAGGTTCTGGATTCAAGGAACGCTCCTGGTGGCTGCATTGGAGAAACAGGCCTGCCCAGCGATTCCAGCCCACACGGTTGCTCCCTACTGTGTTTCCTCTCTCCATGGCTGGCACTGGCTACAACTGGACTTGAGCTCGGGAGCACTAACAGACCCAGACGTAAAAGGAAACAGGCACCTGCTGTGCAAGTCCCACCTTGGGTCCCTCTGCAGCAGCCCCTGGTGTCAAGAAGTGGCTGCAGAAAACAAACTGACCATGGGAGGAACTGTCCACGTGGAGGGGGTCAGCTTCCCTCTGCTGTGGCCCTTCTGGGCATGTCCACAGTGCAGCCCACAGAGACAGACACTCCTGCTAGCAGGGCTCAAGCTGGCAGCACGGATGCCGCGACTGGCGCAAGCCGCTGCAGCGCAGACGTACCCACCACGTGTCAATACTACTCCCCGCTGGGCAGACAGATCCAAACACAGTAGGAAAGAAAAACTGAACAGAAAATGGCCTAGTTATGCCCCCACATCATCCCCCTGAGCCCCAAACAGTTGGGCCCCCAAGCTTCAGACTTGCTCCATTTTTTGGTTTTTCGGTAGCCTGCTGAGCTACTCGACAAGGAACATTCTCCCTGCCCACCGCAGGAGCTTGGTAGATGGTATAAGGAAAGTGTCGTCATTTTCTTGCAGCGAGGAGCATGGCTCCCTGGCCCAGTCAGCAATACTCAGAGCCACAGACCCTCCTTCAGGTCAAGCTGGCCAGGGGAGCCTTTCTACCAAAGCCCTGAGTGTCTAGATACTGGTTGGACTCTCAAGATCACTTCTGCAGACACATGGGAGCAAATTCAGACCCTCTGCAATTTCGACCCCCATCTTGAATTTGCTACCAAACTAGCCCAGGAGCGCATGGACAATGCCCGTGGATGGCCATGCCAGGAGCACAAGAGGGAAAGGGCATGTATCAAAATGCCAGGCAATTCCCAGCAGCCCATGACCCCTCTGCAGAGGAGCTGAAGGCATGTCACCCCCCCACATTTGGAGCAGGGATTAGGCCCCGATATCACACTCTTCTCAGCCTAGAAGAGGAGGCCTAGATTTGCCCATTCAAGAAAAGAGACCGCCAGTAAAAACAGCTCCAGTGAACTCAGGACAGGAGCGGAATCCCTGTTTCCTGGTGGGGAACGCCAGAGCCCACCAAAGCCCCCAGGCCCACAGCCACATGGGAGCACTTCGCTTCCTCTTGGCATTCTGCAGGCTCATCATGCTGGGAGAGAGCTTTGATCCACAAGGCTTTCCCCCCGTGTGTGTGTTGTCATTCCTCCTGCCTCTGGAGAAAGGGTTACGACTTCACGGCTCTCCTACCTTCTTCTCAGCCGTTTCATTCACCAAAGCTATTCATCAACTTGCACAACTCAATATATTAGGCCTTCACGAAACACTGGATCAATGGCCAGGGTACACTCACCTTGGCTGCTTGCTTTAATACAACTGACTAAGCGGGAGGCGAGGGGACAGCAGTCCGTCCGAATAATGCAGGCCTGAGCACAGCAAGCACGGCACACTTCTGTCCACACACCTAGAGTCAGACAGACCCTGAGGGCCATGAGTTCTGCAGAGCTGCGCGGAGCCTCTCCCTTTCCACAGTGGTGACCCAGCCTCCTACAAAGCATGGGCTGCCTCGGGTTCTGAGTCTCTGAAGAGTTGAGAGTAAGTGGGAGGGGGGGGAAGGTGAACCTCTCCTCCCACATTCTCTCATGTCTCTCCTCTTAGCCATGGCAGGCTGAGCGGAGCGCCTTTTATGCCTAACCCAAGGGCTTCCATGACCAGCAGCACACGAGAGTCAGCCTCGCTGGGACTCCCACTTTGGCTCTAATTCCTGCAGCACCATCCGAGAGGGACTGGCCAGCATTAGCCAGTCAGCCTGGGCAGGGCCAGGATCTCAGCAGCGTACGCATTCAGAGCGGGTGCTGAGGCACAGTCGCTTCACCAGACTCAGGGTGAGGATCCAGAAGCTCCTGCCTTCCAGACCTATGCTTTAGCCCTCGCCATCCCTCCATGGGTGCAGCTATCACGGCGCTCACCACCTTGGACTCTTTGGTGCCACAGAGTAGCCTGCAGCTCCTTTTCCCTCTCTGCCCAGGCCACCGCGACATTACAGTGCTCGCAGTGGACTCAGCTGGTGAATTCAGACAGGCTAGTGAGTGCTGAGTTGACACATCTCACAAAGCAGAGGACTTTGTGATCGCTGCAGGGTGAGATCTGACAGTGAAGCAGTGAAGACAGCAGTATCATGAGGCAGCCGACTCCCCATAATGTTGCAGGTGCTCTGCCAATTGCCATGTGACAATGAAGGGGTGGTAATGCACACCCAAGTGCGTTTAACTGGCCTGCAGAAGCAATGGGCTGACAGCACTGTGGCATTTTCCAAAGTGACAGTTCTGACGCGGAGAATAAAAGACCTACATGTTCCCATGTGGGCGGCCGGGAGGGGGGGGCTTCTCCCTCCTCCTTTGCCCCTCCCCCCCACCACACACAAGGCATTTGTGATCATTTCTGAGACAGATTTTCCTGCTGCTGCCTACACTGTTCTGACCTCTGGATTAATTCATTAC